AGTTATTAAATAAATGATGTTCAACCCGTACTCTCATCTATATCGTGATTCCACAAAGACTAAATTATTTAATTTAGCCAAGACTAAATTTCATATCAGTATATCAGATGCTTTCATCAACTATCACTTGGGTAAATTTGTGTTTTGGACCTATCAAGCTGCCCGCCATAAGCCTACACTAATTCTCACTGTACGAGCATGTCAAACATCCACAAGCAGAGCTCTAAAGATAATCTTAAGATGTTGTATGCCAAAATAAAGATAGGAAACTGCTCATTATGCCGTATCTTATTATAATAAAGATATACCAATTAACATAAGATTGGCTAGTTCGATAAACAACATAGCATTTATAGAACTGTGGAACCTCTATCAAATGATTAAACATTTCACAATTAAAATTTAATGTTTATGCACATACGAAATTTGTAAAAATGGGCATACTCATACGATATTTAATACTACGTAACATGTTTGATTTCAAACTATAACAATTAATGAATTTTCTAATAAAGAGATTTGGATTTTTAGGCTGGCTGGTTTGGTTGCGAAAATTTCCGCTTCACATTCGATCAGACATGCTGGGGTCTCCGTTGCACAGTCGGAATGAACTACTGAAGACACAGATGCGTACTGCTCTAAAAGAAATCGATAACATGTGCTTTTTATATATTAAAATAAATTATCGTGTACCTTTTCTCTAATGGCTTGTTTCTATATTGAAAGTTAATGAGAAGGAGATCAATAGTAAATCATTTTTTAGAAAATAATGTCTGTTGATCGACTAACTATTGCACATTGTTCTAATTTGTTCCCATAAGTTTCAATGATTAGAGCGTTGAGGAGCAGTTCATAATTGGCTTATCTTTTCATGCCGTGCTGAGCCTTATAGCTCTAATGCTTTGCCCAGCCCGTGCATAGAGCATTGAAAAATGGAAATAAAATCTCTGAAAATATGGCCTCATGACCGAACTTCATAAATTCGCAACGTTGAACATTTCGTTCGCGCCGCGAAGAAGCCATTGTATAAATGATTTTAAA